CCCCCGGGCTCGCGGTCAGCCACCGCGAGAAGGCCGCGGAAGACGAGAACTGCCGGCTGCCCGGCTCCTCCCGACCCTCGGAAGCTGGGTCCCCGAGGTCCCGGCCAGGCCACCGGGCTCCCGGGACAGGCTCCGTGGCTCCGGAGGAGAGGCGCCGCGGGGGGTGGGGTGGGGACTGGACCGGCAACGCGAGGGGTAAAACTGTGACTCTGCCTAGGTAGGAGGGCCCTCTCTGCCATCCCTGACCTGAGGGGGGCGAGAGGGTGCGACCCCGGGTGCACCCATCACCGAGGAGGATGGGCAGAGAGGCTCCAAGCCACAGGGGGCCCTGGAGGAACCCGCTCTGAGGTGAGCAACAGTTGATAGGGAACCTGCGTGATAACCTACGGTCTAGTCTTGTCCTTTCTTCTTTCTTTTTTGAGACCATGTCATACTATGTAGCCCTAAATGCCTTGTACTGGCTATATAGATCATACTGGCCCAAAAAACCGCAACAAAAAGATACTCCTTCCTCTGCTATCCCAGTGCTGGGATTAATGGCATTGCCACCACTCTGACTCTTCCTTCATCTAATGTATTTATTTTTATTTTATGTGCATTGATGTTTTGCCATAGATGTCAGGTCCCCTGGAACTGGAATCACAGACAGTTGTGAGCTGGGAATTGAACCCCGGCTCTTAACTGCTGAGCCATCTCTCCAACCCCGACTCTCCTTCTTTTTAACATTAATTTCCACTCCCTAATCCCCCACCCAATCGGACCAAACCAGATTATACGAAGTATGAAAAATATATATTAAATATTAAGAAAAATAAATTTCTTCATATCCCTATTGCCTTTATTTTTTCTGAATTCAATGTTTTTCAATAGAAGAAAAAATTAAAGCCTATCATAGTGGCACATGCTTTTAATGTTATGCCCAAATCCGCAAAGTCCCCGCAAAAGCCAACAAGGAGACTGAGTCCCGTATGTAAAAACAAAGAGCCTTTATTTTAATCAAGTTTGCAAACTCAGTTTCTCCGCATGTCCAACGTATTGGAATAACCGGAGAGAGCTCAATTAGATTTGGGTTTTTATATTAGTAAAGGTGGGGGTGAGGGGTTTCTGAGGTTCAGGGCCTCTGATTGGCTGATATTTGTCTAGGGGTGTCCTGGTAAATGTGTGCTGGCAGGTGATCCTACCTACTGTGGTTGGAATGTTAGGCATTTCCTTTGAATGCTCTGTTCTTGGGTGGTGTTAATTAATCACAGTTTGTGGTTCTTTCTGCAGCCAGGTATTGCCTCAGGGTAAACTACTGAGACTCGGGCCTCTTATTAATTTTATCAAATGGTTGGAAGTAAAGAACTTCCAGAGGTTCTGAGTTCAATTCCCAGCAACCACATGAGGGCTCACAACTATCTGTAATGACATTCTTCTGACATTCAGGTAGAATACTAGATAGATAGATAGATAGATAGATAGATAGATAGATAGATAGATAAAATTTAAAAAAAAAAAAGGAACTTCCTTCCTTTGGGTGACCTGCCCAAACTTAGTTTATCATGGCTGGCCCTCACATTTAATCCCAGCACTTGGGAGGCAGAGACAGGTGGACCTCTCTGTGAGTTTGAGGCCAGCCTGGTCTAACTAATGAGTTCCAGGCCAGCCAGAATGGCATTGTGAAACCCTGTCTTGTAAACACACACACAGACATGCTCACACAAAACAAAATAATATATAATTCTAATATAAGTATAAACCAGGCACACATATGCCTGTAGTTCCAGATATTTAGGAAGCTGAGGCAAGAGGATCCCTTGAGTCCAAAAATTAAAGACAAGCAGCCTTGGAGCCAGAGAGGTGGCTCAGGGATTAAGAGCATGCTGTTCTTCCAGAGGACCTGGACTTGACTCCCAGCACCCATATGTTACTCTAGTTCCAGGGGACCCAAGCTCCTCCTCTGGACTACAAGGACACTAGGCTCACGTTACCCATACATATAAAATGAAAATATAAATAAATATGTAAATAAATATCACCAGTCTGGATGGCATAGTGAGACTTTCTCCCTCAAAAAGAGGGAGAAATTTTTTTTAATTATTTTATTTTATTTTTATGTGCATTGGTGTTTTTGCCTGCATGTATGTCCATGTAAAGGTGTCAGAACTCCTGGAGCTGCAATTACAGACGCTTGTGAGCTGCCATGTGGGTCCTGGGAATTGAACTCAGATCCTCTGGAAGAGCAACCCACGCTCTCAACAAGTGAGCCATCTCTCCAGCCCCATTTTGCATTCTTGGATGTTGCCTTTATTTAACTCTGTGAATCTATGTTCCTTTGCCTGTCTAAAACACCTGATTGATCTAATAAACAGCTGAACAACCAGTAGCTAGGCAGGAAAAAGAATAGATGGGGCTGGCAGGCCAAGAGAATAAATAGGAGAAATCTAGGTTAGAAAGCAAAAGAGAGAGGAAGGAGCAAGAAAAAAAAGAGAAGGCAAGGATGACGTCAGGGACCAGCCACCCAGCCAACCACGAGTAAAGAGTAAAAAAAGATTTATAAAGAAAGGTAGGAGAGGCAGTGGTGGCACACGCCTTTAATCCCAGCACTCAGGAGGCAGAGACAGGCGGATCTTTGTGAGTACAGCCTTGTCTACAGAGTGAGTTCCAGGACAGGCTCCAAAGCAACAGAGAAAACCCATATTTAAAAAAAAAAAAAAAGTAAATGTAAAGCTCAATAAAAATAAACAAAATACAGATTCAACGCAATGCTCAGCAAAATCCCAGCAAAATTCTTCAAAGACCTCGAAAGAACTGTACTCAACTTCATTTGGAAAAGCAAAAAACCCAGGAGAGCCAAAACAATTCTATGCAATAAAAGAACTTCTGGAGGCATCACAATCCCTGACTTCAAACTCTACTACAGAGCTACAGTACTGAAAACAGCCTGGTATTGGCATAAGAACAGACAGGAGGACCAATGGAACCGAAGAGAAGACCCGGATATCAAACCACACATCTTCGAACACCTGATCTTTGATAAAGAAGCAAAAAATATCATGGAAAAAAGAAAACATATTCAACAAGTGGTGCTGGCATAACTGGATATCAACATGTAGAAGAATGAAAATAGACCCATATCTATTACCATGCACAAAACTCAAATCCAAATGGATCAAAGACCTCAGCATGGGGCTGGAGAGATGGCTCAGAGGTTAAGAGCATTGTCTGCTCTTCCAAAGGTTCTGCGTTCAATTCCCAGCAACCACATGGTGGCTCACAACCATCTCTAATGGGGTCAGGAACCCTCTTCTAGCCTGCAGACATACAAACAGACAGAATATTGTATACATAGTAAATAAATAAATATTAAAAAAAAAGACCTCAACATAAAGCCAGCCACACTGAACCTCATAGTAGAGAAAGTGGGAAGTACACTTGAACGCATTGGCACAGGAGACCACTTCCTAAATGGAACCCCAGAAGCACAGACACTGAGAGAAATAATAAATAAATGGGACCTCCTGAAACTGAAAAGCTTCTGTAAAGCAAAGGACACAGTCAACAAGACAAAACTACAGCCTACAGAATGGGAAAAGATCTTCACTAACCCCAAATCAGAGGTTTGATCTCCAAAATATGCAAAGAACTCAAGAAATTGGACACCAAAAGAACACATAATCCAATTTTAAAAAAATGGAGTACAGACCTAAACAGAGAACTTTCAATAGAGAAATCTAAAATGGCTGAAAGACACTTAGGGAAATGTTCAACATCCTTAGTCGTCAGAGAAATGCAAATTAAAACAACTCTGAGATTACATCTTACACCTGTAAGAATGGCCAAGATAAAAAACACTGTTGACAACTTATGCTGGAGAGGTTGTGGGGAAAAGGGAACACTTATGCATTGCTGGTGGGAATGCAAGCTGGTATAACCCCTTTGGATGTCAGTGTGGCGATTTCTCAGAAAATTAGGAAACAACCTTCGTCAAGACCCACTAATATCACTTTTGGGTGCTCAATCATGCCACAAGGACATGTGCTCAACTATGTTCATAGCAGCTTTGTTTGTCATAGTTGAATTTTGCAGGAAAATGGATGGAGCTAGAAAACATTATTTTGAGTGAGGTAACCCACACACAGAAAGATAATTACCACATGTACTCACTCATAGGTGGTTTTTAAACATAACGCAAAGAAAGCCAGCCTACAAACCACAATTCCAGAGAATTTAGACAATAATGAGGACACTAAGAGAGACTTATATAGTTCTAATCTGCATGGGAAGTAGAAAGTAGAAAAACACAAGATCTCCTGAGTAAATTGGGAGCATGAGGACCTTGAAGGAGGGTTGAAGCTGGGAGGAGAGAGACAGGGAGGGGAGCAGAGGGGAAAAAAAGAAAAAAAACCAACATCTTGAAATTTGCAGAAAAAAGGATGGAGCTAGAAAACATTATTTGAGTGAGGTACCCAGACACAGAAAGACAATTATCACATGTACTCACTCATAGGAGCAGAGAAAAATGTAGAGTTCAATAAATATCAATTAAAAAATGTATAAAAAATAAAAAAATCAATAAAATTAAAAAAAATAAAGGTAAACAACAGCAACAAAACCAAGAGGCAAAACATAGGAGAAGAGAAACGTGGTAATTGAAGGTAAAAACTGACAAGAGGGCCTGGAGAAATGGCTCAGGTGGTTAAGAGCACTGACTGCTCTTCCCGAGGTCCTGAGTTCAATTCCCAGCACCCACTTGGTTTCTTGCAACCGTCTGTAGTAAGGTCTGGCACCTTCTTCTGGCCTGCTGGTGCACATGCAGACAAAACACTGTATACACAGTAAATTAATCTAAGTCTCCATGTATTTCTTTGGGAGGTTGGTGGCAGGTCCCCAAAAGAGCAAAGATAGGACTGAAGAGTTTAGCTTTCTGTAACTCCTGTTCCAGGAGATCTCGTTCCCTGTAGGCCCATATTTCTTTATGATATAGCAGCCAGGCTCTGAAGCCATTGGACTCATCCGAAGTGATCACATAGCCCTGCAGAGGGCTCTGCCTGACAAAGGTCAGGATGTTGGCTGCTCCCTTTCTTTGTAATTTAGAGGATGCCTTATAGAGATGCTAATTCAAGTCTATGTGACAGCTAGCATACTCAGCAGACAGGTAGACAAAAGGCCATTCACCTGGTTGCCTACATGACAGAATGCTGGTGTATTTTCCTGCTCAATTTAGATGATGATTTAAAAGCTGGCTGGAGAATAAACGGGAGATCTTCAGGGGAGATCTTCAGGAGGAAGAAGCCTGAGATGCCCTTTTCTGTAATAATGGTGTAAGTTGTGTCTGGTTATTCCTTGCTCCTCC